TGTAATACATGCATTAATTTTCTATTTTTAGTACAACTTGTGCACATAACTTTTGGTTCAAATTTTATACACTGGTAATAATATTAAAAGCAGTAACTTTTGCATTAGTATTACGTAATTAATTAGATTCGTTTACATTATTTTCAACTTGATCAGTCTAAAAGAATTGTTTGTTCTTTCCTTTATCAGTAGTAGATATAGATGAAGATTGACTAGTGTTATTTATTATATTCTTTGCATATATAGAATTATTTATATTAGATCCTTATAGTGAAGAGAGTGAAGTTTTCTTAATAGTATCTATTTCCATTTTATAGATTTTAGAGTCTTTAAAAACAAAGTTGTTTTTAGTAGTGGTAGACGTGGTTTGCATAATATTTGGTGTTAGTTGAGTTGTATTTAGAGTTTCTGTAACTGTTGGAGTGATATTAAGTTTTAGAATTTTAATTTTTTGTCTTTTTGTAGTTTAGTAACTATATTTTCGTTTTTGTTCTTTCTGTGCTTGTTAGAGGATAAAGTACTAGGCTCTTTACTGTTATCTAAAGAGTTTGAGTAATTTTATTGTAGGATTCAAGTTTTTTTCTGTACATACTCTGTCTTCTAATTGTTGGAAACATTTGGTCAAAAAGATCAGTGGATTATATTTTATAATTATTAAATAATAGATTATTTTTAAAAATTAAAAAATTAAAAAATTAATGTATATTGATAATTATGAATTTTAGATATCAAAATATTTTAAGTTTTCTAAAATGTTTTAAAAACAATTATATACTATAGTTTTAAGAAATAATATTTTTAATTTTGTTTCATTAAAAATATTGTATTTTGAAGGAAATGAAAAAGAAAGAAATAAATATTGATGTTTATGATAACGCACTTGTAATTTTCTGGTGAAACCAAACAAGAACAAAAATTTAAAGAAGGAAATACTCATGTTTAAGAACGTTATTATGATTCTTTTTCATGTTTTATTACAATTCTATTGAATATTAAATCCAATGATATTTCAGCCAAGTTTGAAAACAGTCTTTTTTAATTGAACCTTTTAAAGACAGCTCCTACTGGCAAGAAAATTACTATCTCTTAAAATAAATGTATATTATTAGTTTGTAAAAACACCATGCTATATTATACTTTTTCCTTTAAAAAGAATTTATAAATCAGATTTTATTTTCAATTTAATAAATCATTAAGATAATGTGTTCTATTGACAAAGCTCTTCCATTTTGTCACTTTTATATTTAACATTTTATATCAAGTTAATTTTCTATCAAAACTTTTAAATGTGAAAAATTTATATAGTGTTTTTAAATATGTTAGGTTAGTTAGTTGGTAATAAAAAACTTTAGAATTTAATTCAAAATGGCTTTTGCAAAAATGTGACCATTGTACACTAACCAAAATAATCATCCTATTTATTTCAAGCTAAAAATATATATATATATATTAACATCCCAAAACTTTTGTGAAATATTTTTTTATTTTATTTGAGGGTAGGACTTAATACTTTGTTGATAATCTAATTATTACATGAGTAGATAGATAATCAACAAATGATGAAAAAAAATAAAATATTGTTTTTACTGAAACAAATTAAATTATTGAGATCTTATATTTATATTAAATAAGCAATGAAAAATTGGTAAATTTCTTCTTTTATAAATGTATAGTATATTTTCTGTTTCTGTTCTTTGTTTAAATTTACAAATCTATTATTACTATTTAAACAAATTCAATGATATGTGATAAAAAATACAATTTTAAATAAAAATATTTTTTTTATATGATCATAAGTGTTATTTATTATTTAATTATTTACAAAAATTACAATTATTAAGAATGTTTTTTTTTAGTATTTTATAAGTAGATAATAGAAACATATATACATTACGAAAATTATATTTATCATACTCTAAATAATAAATCAATAAATCATTTTTTAGCTTATTTATATTTTTAATATACTTGCTATTTGCTTTGTATATATTTTTATTTTAGGAATTAAAAGCTAGTTTAATCAATCAAATTATTTGATAGAAAAGTTGATATATGACGTTCTGAGAGTCTAAGACTAATTAGTTCTTCAGACAATAATTGAATTTAATTCAGTTTTGGTGATCATTAATTTAATGTCATATACAAATATATTTCCTGTAAAAGATGTAAACCATCAATTGAATCAAAAATGATTTTTTTTATTTATCAGGTCACAGGAAATTATATTTTCTGAGTATAAACATATCTGAAGTTTATCTTTCCATTAAAACTTGTTTCTTAGATAATCTCTCAAGCATCAATTATTAGCGTAAAATTATAACAAAGTTCATATTATGAATTTTTGTAATTCAAGATATCAAATGATATTCAGTCAGTAATAATAAAACTTTACGAAATAATTTTAACTGAAATTAATGATCATCTAAGTAATTTAATATCTTAAATTTTTTCAATATCAACCACTTTATATTTTATTCTTCATCTTGAACCATTTTTTTTTTAAAAAAAAAAGAAACTGAAAATTGGGTAAAACTAAACGATAAAAATTATATTATATTATATTCAACTATCTTTTCTATAAGCAAATTACTTTTAATTACGTGCGTATCCTCAATACATGATATAACTCATAATAAATGATCAAAGTATTTGATTGCTAGTTATGGTAAGGTAAAATGTGTTTTTTGTGAATATATATAAATAGGTTTTTTTTTAAAAAAAAATTCCTCTTTAAACAAAAAATATCTCCAATAAACAGAAACGAGAAACAACAAGGCGAAGGAGTCAAAATATTAAAAATTCTAAAAAATTTCACCTGCTATGAAAATGGGAATAAACCATTACTAAGTTTAGAATAAATAGTCTTATTGAGTTATCTGTTGAGTTGTTGTGTATTTGAAGCTTCTCTGCCACTAGGTGTAAAAATAATCTGAGAAATAGAAAGCTTTTCATGGCTATAGTGGAGTGGAAGCACCCTTCAGACCAGTAGAATAAAGAAATCTTGAAGGAAGTTTCTATAATGAAGGTCAACTGATTCATAATGAGAATTGATTATGCAATTTCCTTCGTAAAATTGCAGAAACTTATAAATTCTTGGTGTATTTATTTGTTACTGAGAGTATTTTTGTTCTTTCTGTGAATATTCTTCTCCTCTGTTTCCAATGTCTTTCATATTCATAGAAATTTAAATAGTAAATAAGATACATAAACTAATGAATTGAAAGCCTCATGATCACAGTCACAATAACTACAAACGTTCTTCTTGATTCTTGACGATGATGACGTAAATGTTCATATTTTTATAGTTTTATTTTTAGTGATCTATACATCTATATACTTTGTTGCAGAAATACTTCATTGTTATATATGCATTGTCTCAAAGAAGACAGCATATATATCTTAAAGTTAAATCTAAAGAAACTGTATACTTCGCATTTTGATCAAATTTTATATATTTCTTAGTGAATTAATAAATAATTATAATAAATATAATTTTATAAAAGTTTGCACAATCTTTTTATCATAAAAATCTTGGTGAATCATTTTATTTTTTTTTTTGTTTTTTAATGTCAAAATATCGATCATATAAAAAAGATAAAATCAATCTTATCTATTAGAAATATCAGGGAATTTAAGCAATCAACTTTAAAACACCTAATATTTATTATAATATTATATCTTCAATATGAATTGTATATAAAGAATAACAAAAATTACATGTGAATTTTGTGATAGGAGATCAAAATGCTTATTATTAGTAACAGTATTATTTATATATTGTATACCAAAAATATCATCATACAGACCAAGATATTACACCATTTGCAAAAATATAAACTTTAACTCACTATATGACTCCTATAATGCTTCTATATATAAGTCAAATTACAACATTTTTTTTTTTTTTTTTAAAGTATAGTAGTTTCACAATATCTTTACTATGAAAGTAGAATATATACATAAAATACAAATCAAAAGAAATTACAAAAATCTCATAAAGAACTAATCTAAGACTAAAATTATAGAAGACTAACCCTGTACTCCCTCAAAATCAATTTATAACCTAAGCTAAAAAATCATTTTTTGAGTATTAATATAGAAAGAAATGAAGAAAGCAAGGCCACTACTACATCAAACATTCGACCAATAGGATCTTATCTGTACTATTGAAGATATAGGAGAAGAGCTAAAAGAATGGTTAGAAGGGTTAGACGATAAATTATAATCTGATGTAACAAAATTAGTAGTTTTATAATCAAAAGTAATATTAAGGAATTTTTCAAAATCGTGAACTATTTGACAATGATCACGCTAAACAATTTAAGTAAGTTCAAAAATTTGATGCATGAAGAAAAAGCAAGCAGCTAAGACTAATGGTTGTGGTAAAAGTTTACTGAAAAAGAATTTATAGAAGGTGATCACAGATACCTGAACGATAAGTATTTTTTTGTTTATTCGCTTTGTTTATATATTTACATATATTTCTAATTTAAGCATTTGTTTAGAATATAAATGGATGTCGATCACAATAATAACAAATAATTTTCTTTCGAACAAAAATGGTTAAAATAAAAGAATTGAATGCTGAATAATGAGGCAATTTTTTATGATTACAAACGAGGTGATTCATATCAAAAAATTGCTAACATTGTACAATGTGATAAAACAACTGTCCATGATGCGATAAAACGTTTTAAAGAAACTGGTTCTGCAATACTAAAAAAACATTATAGTCTGAAGCCACTTTTTAATTCAAATGCATAATCTTCACTCAAAAAGATTGTTATACAAAATTCAAAGTATCGTCGCCTTATCACTCAAAAAATTCAAGAATTATGGACTAAAAAAAAAGAAAGTTTCAACTGTTACAATTTATTGGACTCTTAAAAAAGTCAGCTTACATTTGTATGTTATCCGCTCTAAACCATTAATTTTTGAAAATAATAAAGAAAAAAGATTGGCTTAGGCATTGGAATGAGAAGATTGAACAATTGCAAAATAGAAAAAAGTTGTATGATCTGATGAATCAACATTTAGCCAATTTTTACAAGGTCGTAGCTTACGTATGTGGCGTATACCAGAAGAAGAATTTGACCCTTCTTGTTTAACTGCTACAGTAAAGCACAGTCCTAGTCAAATGTTTTGGAGATGCTTTTCGTGATATGGCTGAGACCTTTTATTCCTCTTCGTGAATCTGTAATAGGACAAAGATATGCAAAAGTATTACAGAGACATGCTATTCCTTCAATTTACAAATTAGTTCTTCGCAAACAAGGAATTTTTCAAGAGGATAATGCTTTACCTCATTGAACAAAGATTGCCGCTGATGTTCGTAATACCTCTAAGATTTCTGTGTTACTCTAACCTGCACAAGGCCCTGATTTAAATCCTATTAAAAATCTTTGGAATGAAGTTGATAAGAAACTTTGTAACTTGCCTAATCAACCTAAAAATATGGAAGATTTAGAATGTAAGGTAAAATATGCTTGGCATTCAATTTCATTTGAGTATATTTAAAATTTGATTGAAAGTATGCCCTGTTACATTCAAGCATGTATAGCAGCTAAAGGTGGTTCAACAAAGTATTAGTTTTTTATTTTTTTTTTAATAAAATATATAGGAAATATTTGAAACAAATAAATTTTTTGCTTATTTTAAAAAAAAAGTTAATATAATAAGTATATTCAAATAGTTTAATTAATCGTTCAGGTATCTGTAATTACCTTCTATAAAAAGGAATACAGGAACTATTTCTCTAATGAGAGCAAAAAATTCTGAGGTATTGTAGGTATCAAGTAATCATCTTTCAAATAACTTTTAGATTGTTGAATTATCTTTTTCATTTCATAGTTAATAGTGGGACACATTCATATATGATAGAAGTTTTCATCAGTGGCATCACATCTAAGATACAAAAGCGAGGGTCATAGATAAAGGGATGTCATAATTTAAGAATCTCAAAAGTTAGTAACATTTCAAGAAGACGTTGATATTTCATTCTTCTAACAAAGGAAGTAGAATATGATATAGATTGTGATGCTGTATTGTCGTTGAGTATGAAAGAGGTAGTAAACCAGTTGATTTGATAAAGCTGTAGATGTTTTGCTAGGATAGAGAGTTGAAGTAACTGTGAGAGAAAACGTTTACAGAACAGTTCTTTATAAAATTGTCTGATAGGTATTAAAACTGGAGCATTATTATGTGAAAAATAGCATTGAGGTGCATTATTTGTGTAAAGTTGAAGTGTTGTGATATCTAGACAGGATTTTGCTAGAATATTGACTTTATTATTGAAGATATTGTTGAAGTGGGCTTTGACTTTGATCATTTTGACATTGAAGTTATGAGTGTCTATTACTTCAAAAAAACAAGACCAATGCATATAATTATTAATTTTGAGAGCAAGGTGAACATTGAAAGCTTTTGTCAAGAGGAATTTATATTTGTTGAATTGGAAAATGATAACTGCCGAATCAGTAAAAAAAGTAACATTATAGGAGATAGGAGCTGTGAGTAAAGCAGTAAAATTAGCTGCGAATTTAGGTAATAAAGAGAAAGGAAAAGAAGATATAAAGGCAGAAGAAAAGGAAGCCATTGGTGAAATTTGATGAATTTGAAGTTAGGCAATACCCATTCTTATCGAAGGAAGACCTAAATCTTGCAAGGATCCATCTATGTAAAATTCTAAAACAGAAGAGAATATAAAAGAATGAAATAAAGTTAATAATTGAGAATTAAATAGAGGTGATAAATATTTGTTAAATAAATTTGCGAAGGTAAGTGGAATAAAATTTCTTAGAGTTGTAAATAGACTCTGATTATTGTTTTTTAAAAGCATATTAAGGCAAGTTCATACAATGCATTATTAGATAAAACATTGTGAGTTCAATTAATACGATCATTTTTAGTTAAGAATGAAATTTTTGCACAAAAAAAGAAAGGTAAAGTAAAGCAATAATTATTGTAACAGCCTCTAAATTTGATAGCAAATTCCTGACAAATTCGACAATGAATACAAGGATCGAGGATTGTAATATTATCAGGTCCAATTGTAAGTATATGATGCATTAAATGTATTGTGTCTTGATTGATTTTTATAATTCTTTTCAGGATGAAGTAATTAAATGAAGAATGCTAACCAATCGCAAATTCAGAGGTATAATGAGAATAGGCAGGATGAGTAATGGAGTAATCATAACAATACTTATATTTGAAATTATTTGTAGGTGATAGTCTTCTGTCTTGATCAGGACTAAGATGAGATTCTAAGGCTCTAAACTAGCTGGGAGTTTGAAAACTACGGGTAATTAAATGTGTGATAGTGTATAGGTCACAAAAGATAAATATGTAGTTTTCGTAATAGTTAGTGAGTTACTTTATAAAAAGCAGTGAGAACTTTCGTAAATTAGGAGCATGCATTTTATATTCTTTTATAAATTCAGAAATTGGGAAGTTCCCTCCTAAGATTTTATTTAACAAGGCTGGTAATATAAGTTTGAGCTTTATTAAGTTAAGATCATATAGGAAGGAAGAGAGCCAGTCATTAGCTCATGCTGTTTTCAAAAATGGCTAATAAAGAAGCAGATTATCAAAGAATTATTTATATTATTGAAGTTGAAGGGTTCGTAAATAAAATAATTTTCTAAGTATATTTGATTTATTAGACATTTGTAAAAGGCGTTACTAAAATTTTGGATTAATCTCTGATATAATGAAGTCAAATTGTAAAAATAATGTGAATGGAACAAGTCTGTTGAAGTATATCTGGAAAGTTTTAGTTTCCTTTTAACAAAGGCTAAGTAAGTAGCGATAAAGCTTTTGCATTATGATTCAGATGACAATGTGAGTTGAGATCTATACTCGATCCTTGAAAGGAGAACAGTATTAAAAATGTAAATTAATTGTGAGTCTGTAAGGCGTTTATGCTTCATAATAGTAATGACCTTCTTGATTTCACTATGTATCTGATTATAAATAAAACTCTTGTTAGACTTGAGCGAGATCTAAACGCTCAGGTAATAAACGCTAGCTTTTGGGGGATAAGCATAGATTGACCATATAGTACTATCATGACTGATATTAAAGGGTTGCTGTTGGAAAATGTTGACCAAGAGTTCTGATTTTGACCAATTCACTTATATATCATTAAAAGTGAAGAAACTATTTGCGATAGTTGTAATATTTATGAGGTCCTTCCAGATTTGGTAAGCCAAAGGGTGTCATTTATGTACGTGAGAGCTGAAATCTTTAGATAAGAATTATTAGTATTGAGAATTCAGGCATCAGGACGCCATTCGACTTCCATAACGAAGCTATGTAAAGAATTATTGATAGCGTATAAAAGCAGGTCATAGTATATACACTACAAAAGTAGTGATATAACTTCACCTTGATCTATTCCTGAGTGAACTAAGTATGTATCAGAGTTTTCGTGAGTTGTGAAGATCTGGTTGAATCTGGAAAGGAATAGTCTCAAAATTGTGTAAGTGAATTTGAAAGAAAGGCATAATCTTGCAAGAGCTGTAGCAAAAGTGAAAACATTTACACAATCGTATACTTTAGAAATATCTTGTAAAAGTACCCATAATTCTGTATTATTATAAATAGCATTCTGTTTAATATTATTGAAAAGATGTATAGGGTCAAAAGTGGATTTGAAAGGTAAGCCCGCAAAATTGTATCCTTTAAGAATATTATGTCATATGAAGGTATCAGCAAGTCTTGAATTAAGTAGACAAACAAAAGCCTTTCTAGCACTTTCTAATAAAGTTATTGGACGGGTGTTGTTTAAGTCATATTCTCAAATTTTCAGTTTAGGGATTGGATAGATATATGTTAAATTCCAACGATGAGAATTTAACGAAATTTGTAGACAACTGCAGATAATGTATTACAAACATTTTTTCATAAACGGTCCTAAATGTTTTAACATTTCATTCAATATTTTTGATAGCTCTGAGGCTTTATTGTTTGAGAGTCAATCAATAATCCTGTACCATTCATCTGCAGAAGGTAAGGACATTAAGTCGTTATAGATTCATGAATCAATCGAGTCTATTAGGACATATGTGAAAATCTATTCTTGTGAAATCTCTTTTGAGTAATGCATGCTGCCTGCAACTTGTTGAAAATGTCTGACAACCTCTTTTTTAATATCTGTTTCTTCAAAAAGTAAATTATAAGATGTAGATGAATTATCGATGCATCAGTCTAATACAATAGTTATTTTTTTGCGATTCAGAACTGAGTCAATCATCTTTGATGGATTGTGTTTATAATCATCTACACAGGCAGTGTTGTCATAGAACATTGATGGGATACTGATGGGATATAGATGGGACAGATAGGACCTTTGGGACATAGTATGGGATAGGTTGGGACATATAGCTGAAACATATAACTAGGATAACAAATCTCTGAGACATTAAAAATATACATCACTATACACAGGTGTCTAGCACTTTTTGGATACTCTTGAACTTGAAATTATATTCACATAATTTCGCTTTTGTTTTAAAGCTAGCAAGAAGAAGTTTAATATCTGGAAGGATAGTATGAAGTATAGTTATGTGAGAAGGACAATTAAGAGAAACAGTATATAGACTATTAGAATGAGCAAGCTGTAAAAATTGTAAATATAATTTATTCCATTTGTCATGAACAGTAAGGGTACACAGATATTTTTTTATTGTTTTCTCAAAGTAATAAAGTAGCTTAATGTTATTGTAAATCTTTGAAAGAGCAATTGGTTTTTTTGAGATGTGATAGTTTTTTGCCTTGTGTATGGAATACATTTTTTGCTATTAAGATTAAAGTATCCTGAAAGAGGTTCCAGAAGGAGTTAAAAAGACTTTAGGATTATATTGTATTAGATGAAATATGTTTCAACGCATTTGAGTTTAATTTCTTTTCAACATTGTCTTTGAATTTAGACCATTTGAAATCATCCATTAAATTGTAATTGAAAGAAGACTTGACTGGACTTTTCCTTGTAGATACAGAGTGTTTTAAGAAGTTGATTATTTTAGTTAATACAATATGGTGGTCAGTAACAGAAAAATCTGTTTAAACAGTTTTGCAGTCAAGTATATTGAGCGCCAGTTCAGGTGTCATATAAATATAATATATTTTGGATGAAGAATTTTTGTTGACACAAGATGGATACAATGTTTGATCATTTTTAAATTGAACATGAAATGCGTCATATAAATCATAATTATTGAGGGAATTAATCAAATTCAAATTAAAAGAAGAGTTATTGGTACAGTCTAGGTCAGCATTTAGTTCTCCAATGAGAATAATATACAGATTATTTTTAATGGCATCATCTAGTAATCGTTTTAAAAAATTAACAGACTGTTTTGTGATGTCAGTTGGAAGGTTGACAGGTGGGATATAACAATTAATGACTATCAGTTTTTGTTTGTTCGCAAATTAAAGTTTTGCGTAAATAATTTTATCTAGTTTAGAATCATAAGCAAAAATATGTTTAGCGATTAATGGGCTAAAAGAGAGGCTGACACTTATTCCAATTGATTGGGAGTTTTGATTATTACTAAAAAAGGTAATATAATCAGGAAAATCTCAGTTGAAAATGGATGAGACTCCCTTAAAATTTGTTTCTTTTAGATCTATGATGTTAAATTGATTAATTGAATATAAAGAAAAAAGGTAATTTTGTTTTTCTAGGATCATTTAAAGAACAGATATTATGAGTAACGATTCTAAGATTTAATAGGAAAAGAGTATAAGAACTAGGAGTATTAGGGGCAGACTGTAACAAAATCAAACAAAGTGAACATTTTATTATGTGACATAAATGAGAGCTGATTATGATGTGGCTGTAAAATTGACCAGTGTCTGATGATGTTTTGAAAAGTAATAATGGTGCTCATCCATGACTTATAGACTTGTTAATTTTAATGTTCACTTTATCATACCAGAATGTGATAAATATAAACTATAACATGATTAATATAGGATTACCTCTATATAAAAATATAAATATGAAACTAATTTACATTAAATCTACCATGAAACCAAAGAATTACAGCACTATTAGTATTAGAAGCATTCTCAAAAAGGAACAATTACTTTCTTAATTTCAATCAAGGTCATTTCTTAGGTTCCTTAACTTCAATTTGAGCAACTTGACCATTCTGTTGCTCTTTTAAGTGCTGGTTTTCTTCCTTTAACTTAGTGACTTCAGCTTCTAATTCTTTAATTCTCTTTATTTTCTCATCACCTCACTCCTTAGATTTTTCATGAAATTTGGCTACTTCCTCTTGTTCTATTGTTAAAGCCTCTTTGGTAGAAGACAGTTCTTTTTCTAGTTTACTAGTTCTCTTTTCTAAACGAGAACTGAAAGATCAAGAAAGTAATTCACTTTCAGTAAGAGATTGGATTTGCTTCTTTTTTTCTTTATGACAATAACAAAAACTCTTGTTTCTCATTAATCTATCACACTCCTTACATCTTAGGAGAGTACCATTATCATATTCAATTTTACAGTCTTTACAAATAAAGGATATATCAAAGTATTGTTCTGTCTTAGCATGTGCTACCATCTGATAGGTAGCAGAAGCAGTACTAAAATCAAGGTTGGTTTGGTCACTATAGTCTATAAAGCAATAACTGCATTCTTGCTCATCCTCTTTTATTAATTCCAAAACTTTATATTCTAAAGTCATACTAAGTTATTTATTTTTTTGAACAATGTAAGTTTGAAACTTCTCCTTACTTTTTTCTTTAACTCTGTTTACTAATTGTTTAAGTTTTAATAATCTGTTTTGCTTTTTAGGTAGGGCTGGTAATTCTTTATTCTCATATTCTTTTTTAACCTGATCTTTATTTTTCAATCAATTAAGGTTGTTTTCTAAAACTTCTATTCTTTTCAAAAATCATTTCTTGCTTGAAACATGGATTGATTTTACTTTTTTCATTTGGCGTTCTCTTCATTCACCAGTTACAATTAATGCTTTCTCAACTTCTTCGCGTTCCATTTCTACTTCATCTTCCAAATTTTCTACTTTTTCTTCTAATTCTTCTATCTTTGCTTCCAACTTTTTAATTCTTTTATCCTTACCTCTAATAATATCTTTAAGAATTATATTCTTAGCTGGTCTACCAAAGATTTCACCTTCTTCTTTTATTTGAGAAAAAATATGAGTTCTTTCATTTCATTTCTTTAATCTTTTAACAAGTCAGTAGCTAACTCAGTGCTTTCAAAATGGTCTATTACAATTCTCTCTACAACTTCTTCCAAATTCTCCTTTTCTTTCCAATTATAGTCATGCATAAGATTGTGTTGAAAACAAATATTCATAAACTGTTTTCTTAATGGTTTGCTAATTAATTCTCTTAAATCTTGTTCAATGTTTTTGTTACAGTGAGGGAACCTGTTCCTCATCTCTACCAACATTTGGTGAATTCTTTCAGTTGCTTTTTGTTTAAATTCTGCTTCTTCTTACTCACTTACTTCTGTATTTTTATAATCATTGAGTTCTCTATCTTTATCTACTAATTGTTGTTTTAATAATTCTATTTCGTTTAATAATTCTTTATTTTCTTGTTGTTGTTTTTCTATAATATTTACCATGATTTTTTATTTATTTATTTTTAAAATACTTATAAGACTATATTAAGTATATAATTATTTTAATATTCCTTTTATTTAAACTTTAAAAATTATAAAGTGGGAATATTCATCAAAAATTAGATAAAGAATTTAACGCGGCGAGGATTTTAGTCTAAATATTTTATCTGTTGCCAGTATAGGTTGGACTTGGGCAAGTAATGTCTTTGAATTCATCTCTAACAAATGGGTGAATATGATGATAAAGGTATTCTTGTCTTTTATAATCCAAAGGAGGAGGGATTAGAACTAGGATGGAAAAGGATTTAATTTCTTTGGTAATTTCAGCAACACTTGCCTTTTTAGTTTTTAATAAATTGAATTCTATATAAGCATCATTAGCAACCAGCTGGGCTTTGACAATTCCAGGTCGAGCTGCTTCAAGGAAAAAATGCTGATATTTTTGTAAACCACTCAATTTCTTAAAGAAAATCCCTAACACAGAGTTAAGATCCAAGTACTGAAAACCTTTTCCATTGTCATAACATTGCACCTTGTTTAATCCAGCTGTACTTGATCTTTTCACAACTTTAACAATATGATTCACGCAATGTACTGTTGTCTTTCTATAGAGTTTTTTAATCAATCCAAAACTACCATTACACTTGAATTTAGTATGTTCAGGTACCATGAAATTTAATTCAATACTTTCATAATAATTGCAAATTACTAAGTACAGGTAAAATCAAATGGTAACATTATTTTTATTCTGACCACCCACATTATCACAAGTAATCTTTAAACATTTTTCACCTTTATTCAATTTCTTTATTCCATCGAATACCAGACTCAGTGTGCCATTAGGACCTTTGCCAATAATTTCGTCTTTATTGAGAACGTAATTAATTTGTTCGCGTACTGCTTCATCTTGAATACCAAATAAATGCACTTTACGCGGACTGAGATAATAAATTTTACTTACCTGTTGATCGGAATGGGAACGTGAACGTTTTGTGCTCAATCATAACTGTAATGAGCAGTCGCGTCAAGGCTACAATAATCAGCTATTATAAACTGCTCATCTACCAATTTTCTCTGTTGTTCTACTAATTTCGTATTTTTGTTGTAATATTTTCTCTCTAATTTAGCTTTGACTAAATGTTCTTTGAAGTTTTTCAATAAATCTTTCGCTTCTTCTTCCTTACGAGCATTATACTGTAAGCTATTCTGAAAATGTTAGCACATATCACATAAATCCGTTCTCAGACTCATAATTTGAATATACGACGTTAATTGATATCATAACCTGCGAAACGTATCGTATTTTAACAATTTCAACGTGCTATCGTTTTCGAGACCTGCAATAAAATTACGATAGACTAACTTGTAACTCGTTTCAGCTGGCAAAAGTGTAAGTGATTGAGTAATGCGATTAACATTTCTACCGGGACTTGATAATCCATGAATTTCAGCATAATTTTCGAGAAAATTCTTCACAGCAGTAGCAACGTTTATATCAATGGTTATTTTGGTTTTCCATCGTGACATTCGTTTTATGTTACCATGAACGCACGGTATTATACCATTCGTCGCTAGGTGATTTCTGACATTTTCGAAGTGAATGCGACCAATTCCTAACATATTGAGATATGTTTTCTGACAAAGTGAAGTATTGCGATCTCAGTAGTAAAACATTCGCTTATTAGTATGCGTTTTCTTTTTAAGACGTCAGCTGGCAGTTATTTCTCCACCATTCATTGCTTTTAATTGGACTATCAAAAATATATCTTATTCGGATCTGAAGAGAGCTTGAAATGCCTCACGTAATTCAGCAAACTTCTCTTTTGGAATCTTTTTTGAGCAACCACAATTGCAACCTATCTCCAAGAAACATATTGCTTTTTCGTATTCAGTGGAAACATCATATTCATTATTTATCATATACGGGTAATCCTATATATAAATTTTATTAGTGAACGCTAGATTAGCTATAATAATAAGTTACCAGATTTCAATAATTAAGGTTGCAATTAATACTCAAGATAGGAATCACAATAATATCAAACTTTATTAAAAATGCAGAATATCATCATATACATCAAAAGTGCTAATACAAGAATATTTAGGAAAAAATGATATTCTCCAACCGTTTAAGCCATACTTCATCATGTTTTTTCTGCAAGACTTTTCCATCTTCAGCATCAGCTGGCCAGTCAATATTCTCATGATTCATAAATAATGGATAGCAGTCTCTTCCTGCAACTCCAGCCCAATCGAAATCTACAAGCATTGCCCGCTTTAATTGATCCTTTTCATATACCAATATGTTATTTGGACGGAGATCTGCAAATACTAGGTTGTTATGATGTAATAGAGAGATAGCCTGCTGTATATCTTGAAACACCTGATCTTGATCTTTTTTCAAATTAAATGTAATTTCATGCAATGGCTTTGCTTCTTTGATGTTTTTCATGATGATCATGATCCAACCTGGTACTATCTTTCTATCCACACAAAATAACTGGGGTGCTAAACCTTCAGAGGCACACAACCTATGTGCATCACCACAGTAATTTTTTGTAAATTTAACAATTATATCAATGTTCATATCTGAAATTGTCGCTGTGCACATTGATTTTGAACTTGACATCCAAGATTCATAAGTAAATTCTACTTTCTTATCATCTATTATAAGCAAATTTGGATATGGGAAAAGATTCTGGTAACCACAAGGATGTTTTGCACTCCAAGCAGATTCAACAGTTTTGTCAGTATGGTAAAAGTGCTCCAAGTCTGTAATTGCAAGTTTCCATGCTTGAAATAGTCTAGCAATATGGTCCAACTCATTAGGATGCTTTGTTGGTACTAGTGGAACAAAATCTGTCAATGGATCCACAATAAGGTGGTCTGTGAAAATGCTTGCAGCAATACACAACCAAGGTCCAGCTAGACACATAATAAGTGTTGGACAGTTACAGGCTTTTCGGAAGGATTTATACTATATATTATTGAAAAACAAATATTAAATTAATATTTGTACATATTTCTACTTATTCAAACATGTAGGCTTACCTTATTCTGTTTCCAGAAATTTAAAACTGAAAATGAAGCTTGCAAAAAAGGGTCAGATCCCCCTTCTCCTATTTCATTCTTAACTTTACGTAGAGCAACCAAATATCTACCATTTTCTAATAGGACACCATCATTACTTGATCCATCATCAACTGTGATTGGTATGAAGTTCAAGTCGAGTGCATCAATGAGGAATTCATCAAATATTTGTTGCCGTTGTTTTTCAGATTGGTAGGTTTGTGCCATAATGTCTATAAAATTATGCACTTTGCCACATAGATCTCTTGACACTTCAAGGTTCTCATTGTTGTAGTTTTTAATAAACTTTCCAAAGACTGGGTGGAAGAAAAGCACTGGTTGACCAACAAACTCAGCAGGCCGATGGCAGTATATCTTCGTTTTTTTTTGCACCTTTGATAGGTTCTGTGACCGCGCAGCTGATGACGGTGGGAGTATAGACTTTACTGCTTCCATGATATCTTCTTGAGTTTTAAGCATCTTAGAAGGTCTAAGTGATTCTGTTTCCAGTTTCTCTCCTAATCGTAGAGGGCAAAAGGAAGAATATCATGCTCATGTATCTTCACTATAAATGCATAAATAGAAAGAATTGCTAGTTTCAATATTTTGCGAACGTAACCTACCTTCAAGTTCACGTTTCTCGGGAGGAATAACTATGTGGCAAGAAAAACTAGTCAGATTAACTCTAGCTACAGCAGCATTATCTCAACGAAGTCATATGAAGAAAAAACGTCTACTCTATCCCCAATGCCCGAGTCACAAAGTCGTTACCTGTCTGAGTGGTCTCCCTTGCTTGGCGCAAGTCCTCTTTGCTCTTGAGCCACTCCTCTGTACACATGTTCACGCGCTCTCTACACTCCTGCTCTTTTTTCTTCAAATCGTCCAGCCACGACCTCTCTCTGACATCTATGGTCCCATTCACCTCCTTTTCCCTCAGCTCGTTCAGCTTCTCTTCTCCGTACTTCCCGTTCTGAAACCTCTTCAACGCCGCGTTCGCCTCCTCAAGCTTCTTATCTGCCTTCTCCACTTGTTGCTGATAGTATTCAAGCGTAGTAGTAGCCATGGTAGTTTTTGTTTTGGTTTTCGATGGGATGCTTGCTGCGCGATGTGATCTATACTAACGCCGCCGATCAGTGGCTTAATTAATGACGTTAGTATATCAGGAACTTTCTAGATTTTTTCACAATCGAAATTATTGTTCCCTGTACGCAGAGTGTGACCAATGATAGTTGATGCGCAGAAGTTTAACATGACGAATCGCATATTATAACAACACGAAACTTACATCTCGAATAAACACCCTAAACGCAATAAATATTGTAAAAAGTAAAACTTGAGCAAGCCCAGTTTAGTTCTCCGTTATTCTTGTGATTGTAGTCTATATGACAGCACAATGATATGAATGGGGATCTTGTTTTCATTAAGTTGAGATAGCAATGCCTTTTCCTTCACGTAAAGTATAGATTTCGGTTGCCATTTTGTTAAACGAGAAAGTTGAGTCCAGCTCAGTTTTCGTATCAAATAATTTTTTAAAATCTTTCCATAGATTTTCGACGTTCTCTCGGTATTTTCGCTCGCTGAGTAGTTTGGCGGGTTTGGATTTTACTTTAATTTTTCCTGGCTCGATTGCTTGAATTATCGCTTCAAGCTTTTGGCTTATATTGTCGAGCTGATTGTAAGTTTTATAATGCAGAGAGAGACCGATAATAAGTCCAATAAATAGCCCGCAAAAAAATTCAGCAGAAATGAGCATCTTATGGATTGTTTTTTACGGAACAAATGCGTTTGATGGTAATTATTTAAATTTGTAATTTGTTCGATTGTAAATTTGTTTTTTTAAGTGAAAATGTGTGTGAAATGGTGCTGACTTTATAACCAATCTTCCAGTTCATTAAACGCCGATCAGAATTATAAGCGTTCATTAAACATATCATTACCTTGAAACAATAGATTTGCCGATCAAACGGTTTTTGCACATCGTCTCCGAAAGTTTATTAATTTGCATACTTACTCATTATTTCTAATACGATAATGGTTTGCTGGTCATGAATTGTGTCAGAGTTGCCAAATTATCATATTTATTGTCATTCTACCTCAAGTAAGATATAGATAATCACAGAAATTCATATTCATCCTGATTATTGATGGTAATCTAACAATAATAAAAGAGCAACTATTTGCTTATGCTTCTAATTTTCGCTTCTTTCTTGGTTCATCGTAGGTTTGCGTTAACGTTCGTTTATTGTTTATTATTTTTCGTTCTTCTTGGTAAATTTCATAAGTGATTTTTTCTTTATCTAGATATTCCTCAAGAATTTTGGTGTCATTCATTTTAAAAATATATGGAGCAATTTTCTCTCCTTGAGCTTTTTTTAAAATGCTTCTAATGGTGCTGTAATTCTTTGGTTCCATAGTGGATTTAATGTAAATTAGTTTCATATTTATATTTTTATATAGAGATAACCCTATATTAATCATGTTATGGTTTATATTCATCACATTCAAGTGAACATTAAAATTAACAAGTCTATAAGTCATGGATGAACACCATTATTACTTTTCAAAACATCATCGGACACTGGTCAATTTTACAGCTACATCATAATCAGCTTTCATTTATGTCACATAATAAAATGTTCACTTTGTTTGGTTTTGTTGCAGTCAGCCCCATTAATATTATTCATTGTAAGGATAGTATTCATGGTAATAATAATAATTAATTAGGGAAGCTGCTAATGCAGCGTTCAATAGCTTTATCAAAATCATCAGTCAAAGATTCGAAAATTTGTAAGTCATGTTTGCTGAGAATATTTTTGTTAAGAAGTGTGGTTTGAAGATTATTACAGGATCTGGAGTAACTTATTAAGTAAAGGAGTAAATTGTGAATATGTTATTGCTGTTTTTGACAAATGAGAACTAATTGATTATTTGTTTATTTTTGTAAATGAGCGATGCAAAGATCAGTGTTGATATGCGGGGATTTATGGTTTACTTCTGTAGCAGAATCAGGTAGGTTGTTATTAAAATTATCAGTCTTAACAGGAGTGACGATTTGAATGTGAAGGGTTTTTTCAACGATTGCGAGACGTTGTTATGAAAATTTAAATTCAACACAAAGGTCAGAAAAAACGTTAGAAATTGAAGTAAGCTAAGAGGTGACAAATTGTTTAAAGTCTGAATCATGAATTGAACTACCTTTTGAAATACCATTTGTCACATTTGGAGTAGGAATAACTTCAGTTTCCATGAATTTATCTATGGGATCATCTGCCCATTGCAATTTTGGTTTGTCATTGGAAGATCTATTGGAAAAAGTATTATTCTTAGCTTTAGGTAGTGGAGGTGGAAGAGGTCTCTTTTTAGAACCTTTCTGAGAATTATTGATTTGCTACAAGATCTTAGTCACGTGAGCAAAGTGATATTTTCACGAATTACACTTCATATCAGACTACGTTTTGGTGCAGTGTAATTATTGAATTGAGCAGGTTGAAATCTCTGATAAAGATTTTGCATGTTACGATCCTTGAGAGATTGATGACGTTTAGGATAAGAAGAAGCGTTATAATGTGTAGACGAACAAACTGTGTAAAATTTGACTTTTGGATCAGTCCATTTTAGTTTTTTGTTGTTTAAAGTTAGATTTTTAATTCCCATAGCTGCTTGGATATCTTCTTTATTAGAAAAATAGAAGAATGCGTGTTGTAAATAATTGTAATTAGAGCGGGCTCTGAGGATGATCCACATAGTGACAGAGACCATATTTCCAATATCCTGGAAGTTACATGGTGTAATATTTCTAGAAAATTAGTTAGTTTTGCTGAAAAGGCAGAACGAGCTTGAATGTCAGGCTTAGAAAGGTTATAAGGGTAATAGCGAATCATATTATTTAGAAGATAAATTCTATCTTCTTTTTTTAATTCTTCAAAATTAGCCTTTTTGTCAAAGGTAATTGTGGTTCTTTGCTAAAGGTTTTTTGTTTCTATAATAAAATGAATAATATTATCAAATTTGAAAAATAATTTGCGTAATCTCATTTCAGTAGCGTTCAAAGGGATTTCTGTGACCATGATCGATCGATCAGATACATAGGGGCAGATTTTTTTATATCTAAGGGTTGAAACGTGATATTATCCATATCGGGAGATTTGAGGTTGCAAAAATCATCATGTTTAATTTTGTCTAAAAAAGCAACTTTAATAATAGCCTGATTGTGATTGATGGGATGTCTTCCTTTTGTGGCAATGATAAATGAGTTGTACTTGTTATAGCACAAATCAGTAATCATCAAGATCTTCATTTGAGGGTTTGAGCTACAGAATTTATCCATTTGAATATACGCGAAAAATTTGATAACTTGAGTTGAAGAAGCTTTGAAGCCAATAGTTGAAGTATCTAAGATATTTTCTAATGCGTTAAAAGACTCATCTACACTAACAGTTAGTTTAGGCGCAGAAGTTTCAAAGATTGAAATAAATAATTTTAAGACTTTTTCCTTTATTGAAGTTGTTGTTCAAACCTTCTTTGACTAGGTCAACTTCCATTATGCTGGTTTTTACTGAAAGGACAATTGTAATAGGTTTCATTATATATGTAAGAGAGAGATCGTTGTCTAAAGTTTATTGTATATTTTTAGCATTTGTAGAATTGTTGAAAAAAAATAAAATAAAACAGATCAAATTACAAGCTTGACATCAAGTTTATATATATAGTATTGCTATATTTTTTTAAGTCACATGATTGATAGATATCAGTATAAAAAATTTTTTTATTCATCATACTGCTTTTTCATTTTTTCAAAGGTACTTGTTAAATATTCTCACAATGAATGAAATGATCAATATGAGTAACTCTACTTTCCCATACACTATTATGAATAAAAGAAAGCTTCTTTATAAATATTCTTTTTTTTTTAGATTTTCAGAGATATCAGTTTAATGGCTCAGAAATGTGAAAAACAAGATCTTTATAATACATTTTTCCTTCTTTTCAGGTACTTCTTAAAGGATTTAATTCTTATAACAAAGTTATGCATTAACGTTTATACTCTTTGATATTTTACATTAGAAATAACAACATCATTTATCCTGTAGGTCATAATTAACCCCAAATTTTAACGATAAAGTGCTCAGGTCTCATGATAATAGTGATATATATAAAGAACTTTCGTCTAAGAGTAAGCAAAAAGAAGAAAAAGAAACGTAAAATAAAAAGCATATGAAATCAAAGATATTTCTAAGCAAACATGTGAATCAGATTGCAAATTGGATAAATATTTTGTAACCTACAGACCAAGACTTCATGTGTCCGTAAACTATAAACGTCTCTTGAAAAGTCAATCTCAAAATAATTGCAATATCTTTGAAGTATCAATAATAGAAAGATGTCAGCCCAAAAAAACATTAAACGATTTTTGATAAAGGATCAATTTCCCTTTATATATTCTCCTTCAAAATCAGATCATGAAGTAATGCCAAAGAAGGATCATGGTAATTTCTCAGGGATAAATATGTGAATGCATCTAAGTCAAGTAAAACCCAATATACCAATTCGGACTTAGTAGAACGAACAACAAAGTATTCCTGCCAAAATTGCATGATGTCCTGTATTAACTTTATGATTAATTAAAGGACAAACTTCATGATTTTACGGAAAAGGATTAACAGTTTCTTAATGCAAACCTTAGAAAATATCTTGATAAAACCTTTGATATCACTAAAATATTTCCTTTATTTAGATCGTTTTAAATTTGTAATGTAGTTTTTAGATGAAAATAAATGCTTGTTTTTATGAAATGCAATGAGAATAGTATGTTATACTTGGGATTCAACTTGGAAGAAGGAATTGTAAATTATCTCATCCATTTGAATAAGTTGTATTATGTTATCGAAGACACTTTTGAGCGAATACCTGTAAATGAAAAAGAATGTAAATTGGATGAAGAAGTCAAAAATCACAGAGGAGATAGTATTTGAGAAGGTGCTTTTGGAGGCTAAGGCAAGTCTTGTGGTTTCAAAAGGAAAAAAGCAAGAAAGTTAAGTAAGGATAATTAATTCAATCACTTTATCGCTTAGGAAAAAGTTATAATTTAAGAAGAAGCTGGTAATGGATTACAATATAATTCGAATATACTGTATTGTTTAATAATTATTATTCAGGAAACATATGATTTTTTTTACAAAATAGTTGGTTAGCAAATCTTTATTATTTGGTGCTTAAAACTTTTTAGAATTGTATAATTTAGAATTAAAAAGCATAAATAAAACTGCAATCTGCATTCTTTTACGCCATGAAAACTTCATTTTTTGTAAAATGAAAAGTTAACCGGCTAAAGATAAAAATTGGAGTAGCGAGTTTAAAGGGAGAAATAAAAAGGGTCCCCTGATTACGAAGATATCACATTAAGATAACCGTATCGTACATTCTCCTAAGTAACATAAGTGTAACCATATACACTTTGGCAATTTAATACTAGTAAACTTAGTAAATAACACATCAATTATCACGATGTTCCAATCATCACAACCAGGGCAGCTTGAAAAGATCATGATTTGGTGAAAGTCCAGATAGTTAATCTAATACCCTTGAATGTTATTGGACCCTGACCCTGCAAGAAAAAATAAAAATTAATAGACCGATTTTTTTCCTTACTAGAAGAACTTCCCGGTTGGATTTGACCAATTATATACTTAATTAGGAAGGATTTGGTATAAAACGTTCGGGCGTTTCGGATTAGGCCGCGCTCAACATGCACAAGATTTGTATTGGGTAACAAATATATCGATCATCATTTCTAGAAATCCCGTGCTTGGCAATTTCCTAAATTATCTTTTAGGCGTCATTATTCTAAGTAAAATTTTTATAAATACAGACAGCATTCACTTGGTTGTATCATTTTTGACACGCATAACCTATAAAATGCCTAAAAAACACCGACCATTAAAATATCTTATTAGAACAACGTTACCTACACTTTTACATATAAATAATCATTCGAAAAGAAAGGTTATGACAAAAAAATCCGGCTTTCCAGAAGGATGGTTTTACGTAAAATCCAAATCAAATTATCACGTGCTTGAACCACATTGTCTTTCTGTAAATACGGGTGCAAGAATTGTTGCAACCAAGCAGAGATTTGGTTTCGATGCGGATAGTCAGGTAAATTAAATTTTATAAAATGAGGGTGTAAATTTTCGAATCAAGTTTTGATAAAGTTTTTTTTTTTTTTAACCCTTTTAGCTTTGGAAATATGATAATGGATATATTGTGAATAAAGCTTCTGGAAAAGTATTTGATATACAAGGAGGTTATATTCGAACATTTCATAGAACGTATCTATGCCAATGGGATCGTAAACCATTAGCTGAAGCATCGACTCAACATTGGACTTTCTTACCAGGCGGTTCTATAACTCCGACGTTTCATGAAGGTTTCGTGTTGCATTTACGCGGTCGTTTTGGTAGATCGAATCATGAAGGTGCTCAAGTTTTAATTCATCAAATAAAAGATGACAACCATCATAAGCAAACTTGGTTTTTTGAACCTGAACAAAGTCAACCAAAGATTCTTTCGCCTCCTATTCCTAAAGAATGTCCTGATTATTTTGCTTGATAATTAACTCAATCATAATTAGAAATAGCTCATATATAATCAATCTGGTATTGACCCTCTTTGTATATATAACAATTATTTAATATTCATGCATATCATAATAAATTGACATAATGAAGATTTAAAACTTAAAACATCCCAATATTTATTTTTTTATACGAAATTAATTTTTACTAATCAAATTAACTTTTTAAAGTGATATAAAATGACATGTAATACAACAATATAATTGGATTTTTTGAAGGATAAAAAAAAAAAATTTTTTTTTTTTTCAAATTTAATGAGCACGACGAGATTCAGCGATAATGTTGCTGAGTTCCTCAACTTTTCTTTTGGCTCTAACAAAGGTACCAAGCTAATTCGCGTAATAAAAAAAAAAAAATTACATTACATTTTAAAAAAAAAAATGAGACAAACATTTGAAATTTTAAGTTGATTTCCTTACTCTCTTCTTTGCCAATTTTCTTGCACGCTTATCCTTGGAATTTTTCAACAATTCCATTACACGTTTCTCATAAGGAGCATATCCTGCAACTTCGCGAATTATATCACGAACAAATTTGACTCGATGAGAAAGAGACTATATACAAAAATCGATAAAGATCCAAGGTAAATTAAATGATTTATTATTAAATAATCCATTGGCTTAAGGTTCACCATCTAAGAAAACAAATATATCGACAAGACCCATAACTTACCCCTTTTCTTCGAGAAGGTTTTGGTCTCAGTTCACGATGAGTTACTTTATGACCTTTATTTAAGCCAAGAACAATACCAGACTTTGGTTGCTTAGCCACCATTTTAATAAAAAATAGAATAAAAGAAAAAAAAATTTTTTTTGTGTTAAATAGTTATCATCTACGTCAATCATTTGAACTTGTAATTTATGTGGCGTAAATTTCTATCACGTGATACATTTGAGCAATACGTCATGCATAACTCTGCATAAATCCAGCCGTCCAAAGTCGCGTCTTCCATTCTTTCAACATGGATGATTTTTATGACCCAAATAACCTTACCTGGAACAATTTGCATACAATAAATGAGGAACATACGTACTGTTATTGTGGAAAAGACAGAAACTTGACTGAAGTTTCTCTCCAATGCTCAGGTTAGTACAATTTTATAACTTAAAAGATCTCTTTTTATTTTACGACCAATTATTCATTTTTTAGGCTGTTTGAATTGGTTTCACGCAAAATGTACTAAAATTCCACTCGATACCACTATCCCAATTTTCACGAATTATAAATTTACTTGTAAATGGTGCAATATTTCTTCTGGGGAGAATTTCAAGGTAATTTGGATGATAATTCATTCCTTTTAACTAAAGCCAGATAAATTAAAACTTTTTTTTTTTAATTATAAGCGTAGCCAAGCAGGATGGAAAGAAATTGGTGGTTGCGCTATAGCAAATTTGATGCTTCAGCAACATTTGGCAGAATTTAAAGCTCAAAAAGGAGATCCTATATATTCTTCGGCTTGTGCAAGGAAATTGTCTCCATTCCAATATTATTTTAATAAAAATGAACATTTAAGACCGTTTGTTGATAAGAATTGGTCTTCTTTATGTACGGAGCGTTCTAGAACTGCAACTTGGTATGTGTCAAATGATCTATATATTTCTTGATTATTAAGTAACTATATGTATATACATATTTTTTAAGGTGGGCAACTCTTGGATCATGTCTATACTCAACTAAAGATCTTTTTGTTGCCAAAGATGAAAATAATCGTTCGGCAAGTTCGAACTTTTGTCTTGTAGATCCAAATCTATGGAATATCAGACCAGGGCATTTTGGGGTAACGTAATTTTTTTTTTTATTTTATTATATATATAAAATTTATGATACATTTACGGAAATTTTTACTTTAGACATCACATTCAAGGACTCCCTCACGGGCTCATAGAGAGGCGGTGAATAATAGTACTCGTACAATTTATGACTCTGGAACCCAAGACGAAGCATCATCGTCAACAATTACACATGCGTCTCCTTCAAAACGCCAATCAACACCGTTTCGCTCTTCTTCAGAACAGCCTGTAGCTTCTGGCCAAACACAATCCAATCGTTCTAATACCGTGATTGCCTTGATGGAGGCACGTTCTTCGTCAATTACGGAATTTGGTCAATCCGGTGAACAAAATAATCTTCGGCACGGTTTCAAATATTTACCTTGTCAATTAGATAAATTGTTTCCATATTTGCAATATCGCAATTCTGAATTACCTCCGTACGGTGTACGACTTTCTAAAGAAGATGCAAGTTTATCCGTATGGATAAGTGGTGACCAGTTAACTTCCACTACCGATTTTGGATTTTCAATGGCTAGGGCAAACTGTCCCGTGAAGGAAGGAAAGTGGTTTTTTGAAGTTTTTATTGATCGTGGTGGTGAGGGTAAAATCGATGGTAAGGATGGCGCACATGTAAGGGTAGGCTGGGCTCGTAGAGAAGGTATTTGTTTATTCATTGTGACATTATTAGTTTTTAAATCTGAACTAATCGTTTATGTCAAAATTTGCAGGCAATAGAAATTCTCCGGTTGGTTCCGACGCATACAGTTATGGTTTTAGAGATCTAACTGGACAAAAGATACATCAATCTATTCCTACACAATATGGCGAGTCATTTAAAACGGGAGATGTTATAGGTCTTTATATTAGCTTACCGCCATTGAAGAAGGTGATTCCGGACTACCAGCCAAAGAGTCCAAAAAGGCATAGAATACCGATCCTATTTAAAGGGGATACGATTTTCGAATATAAAGACTTTAAACCAACGCATCAAATGAATCAGCTTTTAGAATTGCCAGAAAAGAAAAAGGAAAAAAAGTACTGGTGGCAGCAACAAGAAGAGAAAAAACAAGTGCAGGCACCACCAGATATTCCCGTTTTACCAGGTTCAAAGATCATTGTTTATAAAAATGGAGTTCGTCAAGGCGTTGCTTTCGATAATTTATATTCATTTTTGCCCACCGTCGACAAATATACTAATGATGATGATTTAACCGAGGACGATGGATCTCTTGGATATTATCCAGCCGTATCTATGTATCGAGGTGGTACTTGTACTTTAAATTTCGGACCACATTTTCGATATCCACCACCACCAGATCCGGAATTAGAGCTTGCAAGCAATAGGTCAACGCCACCCAAAGTTCAGACTTTCAAGTCTTCGTTAATAAAAACCTTAGTTGCAAACCCATTATTAAACAAACCATCAACTTCAACTTCGTCATCCCCATCTTCATTAAATCCTTACAAGAAAAGTACTAGTGGTCGTAATTGGAATCCAATGTCTGAACGATATATGGAATACGTAACTGAAGATGTATTATATGATCTTGTTGATGAAGTGGAACTTTGGGATTGGATGTTATCACAAAAGAAGAAGATTATCCCGACCAAGCGACCAGTGATTGTTGAAGTGAGTGATGGTTCTCTTAAAAAGAGGAAACAAGAAGGGGGATCAAGGCAGGAAATAAATGATAACGAAGATTTAAAACCTCAAGGATTTCCGACAAAGTGGGATGGATCCTCATTTAATTAATGATAAATTTTTTTTTTTAATTTTTAATAGAAAACATTTTATTATTTTATAATATTAATAATTACATAAATTTCACTAATATATTAATTATTATTATGATTTATGAGATATCATTCCTTTCATCATATCAAAGCTATTTCCATCAGGTTGCAAAATTATTTCATCATCCTCATTTATGAACCTGGCTTTCAAAAAACCAAAATCCGTCGTAATCCCAATAATACGAGCTCTCCTATTATTAAATGCTTCTAAAGTGACGATCTGATCACTGTAAAACAAGGAATAACAATAATAAGTCAATCGAAAAGTTAAATATACAAGAAAAAAAATGAAAATGAAAAATAGACACGAACTTATGTAACCATCTTTTATAATAAATATCAAGAAAGGGTTCAAACCCATTCTTATGACTACAAAATTCTTTATAAAATGATTCAAATTTTACGAGAATAGCGGCTAAAAGTTGTTCTTGAGAAAATTCCTCCAATTGAGTATTATTTTCATGATTATATAGAGATATTATACGGTTAATCGCGGTTGTGGGTGCTGAATTACTTAAATTTACTCCGCACCCTAAAAATGAATACATCCATGTAAGTATTAAAGTTTGAATTTCTTTATATTAAAAGTAATTAATTACCTGCGATCAAAAGAAATTCATCTTGGAGGAAATGCGAATTAATTATAACACCACCAATTTTAATATTTTCAGTATAGATATCATTTGGCCATTTCAATCTAAGAGGAAGATCCTAAAGCACGTATAAATATTAAATTAATTCATATTGAAAGCTTTTTTTTTTTTTTTTTTTTTTTTTGTAATACGAACCTCGTAACCCTTTTTTGTTCTAATAGCTTCAACTACCGCTAATGATAAGAGGTATTGTATAAAAACAACAGAGGATATGTTCGATGGATGTTTTAAGACAACAGAGAACTGAAGACATCCAAGAGGTGAAATCCAAGAATTTTTACCACGACCGCGTCCTTGATTCTGTTGTGAAGCTACACAAACGAACCCAGTAGGCAAAGTTTGAGTAAATTTAAAATTTCTAATAATTTAGAAGGAAAAGAAAAAAAAAAAATTTAGAAAAATTTCTATAATTACAAAGGACAAAGTGCGTAAATACGTTACTTGTCTAGTAATGTTTGTGTACTTGATATCACTTCACCATAAAGCACAGTTGAACCAAATTCCATTTTATTACCACCATCACTTTCAATAATTCTTTCTTTTGAAAGGTGATCAAAGAAATCTTTAAAATTAAAGAAAGGTGTGATTGACAGAGGAGGAGGTTGATCATGATAAACTATAATAGAATTTGGAATATTCATATTATCATCACTAGGTGTTTGTTGAGCTTGAGATAAATCATTATTATGAGAGTTATCTATAATTCTAAAGGATTCATTTGACACTTTTATAACATTATTAGAATCTTTTAAAGAATTTATATTATTTAACCAAAGATTAGTTAAAGCAGGTCTTATTGAGGTTAAATGTAGAGTAAAAGATAATTTTGAAGGGGTAATTTCATTCCTTTGAGATAAATTTAAACCGAGAATTGAAAATAAACCTCTTATAAAATGATCCTGTTCAAGTTTAACATTATTAAAGAAAGGATCAAGGCCACATAAAATGATCTTTCCATTACCAACATCATATTGAATTACAGTTGAAGAATCATTATAAGTTGCAATAGAAGTAATATTATTTCCCAAATCATCAAAATAACCAATTGAATTATCACATGGAATTTCAATTTGATTTTGAACGAAATGAAAATGATGCAATAAATTTTTTAGCTTTAAAGGAATTTCAACAATAGTCTCTTTTGACAATTTAGGATAGGTATCGGAAGAAGTTGTTGTAGAAGTTGTAGTAGTTGTAGTTGTTGTTGTTGTTGTTGTTGTTGTTGTGGTAGTAGTAGAAGTACCAGGTTTAATCTGGTTAATGGTTAAAGTTTTATAAGTGCAATTATCACTCAACTGAGAAGGTAAAAATTGTATCGCATCTAAACCAATACCCAAATAATTACCACCGGATTTTAGATACTCTTTGAATTTTTTTTCAAATAGGATGTTATAATTAAATTCTTTTTGAATGAATAAGTGTTGATTAATATTTAATTTATTCGAAGATAAAAAAATTAAGCAAGAAGTTGTATCAAACCAGGGATCTTTCAACAAATCATATGAATCTATTTGAATAATATCATAATTTGTACCCAATATGAATTTTAGAGCTTGATTCAATGAAGAATTTACAGTTTTAGAGTATATTAAAATATTTGTTTTCATTTTTTTTTTTTTCAAAGTTGCAAACGAATTTTTAAAAGGCAAGTGAAATGTAGATTCTTTATTAAATCTTGATGAAAGAGATCGCATGGTTTTATTTTATTTTTTTTTTTTTTTTTTTTTTTTTTTTTTTTTTTTATTTTTTTTTTTTTTTTTTTTATATATATATATATATTATTATTATTTTACGACCTTTAGAGTTTATGGGTTTCACATGCCGCAATTCAGATTCGAAAAATTCATGTTAAAATAGCGTATGCTCAATAATTAAGTTGTAAGAGCAATGGCATCAATTTCAATTTTAACATCTTTAGGTAAACGAGATACTTCAACACAAGCTCTTGCTGGACGATTATCTCCAAAGACCTAAAATGAAAATGAAGGAGGAAAAAAAAAATTTTTTTCCCTTAACGAAAAAAATAAAAATAAAAATAAAGTGTAGCAGTAATTACCTTTGCGTAAGCTTCATTTACGGAAGGAAAGTCATTCATATCTTTAAGATATACAGTTGTTTTTACGACTTTAGATAAATCAACTTTTGCTGCTTTAAGTACATTCGACAAATTCGTAACAGCTTGGGTCTTTTCATATTTATATGTATATATAATTTAGGGAAATACGCGTAAACAAAAAAATAAAGCTGCACATTTATAAACAATAGAAAAGACCTTCGATGATAGGTACCGTTTGTTCTTTAATATCTTCGCTTATAATATTTCCCGTGGCAGGAACAACGGGAAGTTGACCTGAAACAAACACAAAACCATTTGCAACAATAGCTTGGGCTATTATCAAAAATTTTTAAATTAGGACACTCCTCTTCTTGAAATATATAAACGTATAAATGTTCACTTACAGTAAGGTCCAAGGGCACCAGGTGCTTCGGTAGTGCTAATTGGTCTAGCCATATTTCTTGTTGTATATTGTCTAACTAGAGAAGAACGAAGGTTTTTACAAAGCCTCATTGTTCTTTTTTTATTTCCATTTTCTTATTTAGATCAGATCATCAGTTCGGTTATAAAATTGTCAGTTGCGCAATATGACCTAATTTGTATAAAAACTGGATGATTCGTTTTTTTTTTCAATTTACCCAAGTTCGGAAATGTCGTATTGTAAAATCATTCTTTTTACCTGTATTAATTAATGTCTACCCCTAAAGACAGACTTTTACAATTATCAGGACATTTAAATGGAGCCGAAGCGAGTGAAGAAAATAAACCTAGGTTATGTTGTAAAGTTTGCATTATTACCGGAGCCGCTTCAGAAAAAGGCATAGGGTAAATCAATATATAATATATTACTTTAAAACCCCGACTAACTAATTTAAACTAGAAACTCTTAATTCATATATAGTCGCGCTACTGCGTGGGCATTTGCCAAGAACGGTATGTTCCTCATGCGGTATTTGAATTGTAATTTAAATTTATGACGTTTAACGACAATTCCATTTTAAAAAATTATAGGAGCAAAAGCTATATATGTAACGGACTATCTTGAAGATTTACTTCCACAACTTGCAAAGGAGATACAAACAAAATACCCAAAGGTTACAGTAATTTCACGTAAACTAGATGCAGCATCGGAAGATGATGTTAAATCAACTGTTGATGATGCCATAAAAAGATTTGGTAGATTAGATGTATTTTTCGCTAATGCTGGTTAGTATCTTTGTCATGAAGTAATAAGGTTGCTTCTAATCGGAAAGAATTAATTTCATTTCTTTGTTTGTTATATAAAAGGTATACTTGGTATAAACATGATACATGATTTAGTACCATCTAAATTTATGGAAGTTATGAGAGTAAGACTTGTGTAAAATTACAATTAAAGATTATTAGTTGGTATACATTTAGAAACCCCCTTCACCTTTTTTTTTTTGTTAAAACAAAATTTTTAGGTAAACGTACTTAGGTAAATATTTTTATGTGTAATTTCTTGTATATACAATCAATCGAATTAATTTTCCTCCGTTAATCAGTGTATTTTTAGCCATAAAACATGCATCAACGGCAATGAACATTACTGGGAACGATAAGAAACAATCCGGTGGTTCGATTATTGCAACAGCTTCAGGTTTATATCATTTATTGAGTGTTTATGGAGTTTCAAAAAGATTTTTTAATTTACTCTTCTTCTTTTTAACGATGTAGTTGCTGGATTGAGATCTGGTGCTGGATCCATTGATTATTCGGCTTCAAAAGCTGCGTAAGTATATATAAAAGACGCGTCACTTTACATAAAGATAACAATGCTAAGAATAATTTTCATGTTAAAAACAGTGTCATTAATATGATTCAAGTAGGCGCCTGGCACCTGGCTAACACGAATGTTCGCGTAAATTCAGTTAATCCTGCAAGTATTTAAATAAGTTATCAATAACTTTTCCCTTTCAAGAAAATGTCAAAATTTATTCAATTCCTTTAATAAATAGGGATTAGTTGAAACTAATATGACAGCTCCCGTCTTCGATCACGCTCGTACACGTGGTACTATTAAAAAAGTTGGGCAATTAAATCCTTTGCAAAGATATGCTGTTCCGGCTGAGGTAAATTTCAATAAATTGAATGTTTTTATAAAAATAAATACTCAATTAGAATTATTATTATCGATAGATTGCAAATGTAGTATTATTCTTGGCAAGTGACGAGAGTTCATACGTAAATGGTCATTCATTATCAGTTGATGGTGGATTGTCTTCTAGTTTACCCGTCGTTCCTGGCAAATTTTATTAACATTTCAATTTTGTTTTGAGGCTAAAATAAAATGGATTATGATTTCACTTGAATTATATAAATTATAATAAACATTTCTATCAATATACAAGAAACTTCTTAGTTTAATTTTGGGTGATATGTACGAAAGTTTTTTCTCCTTTTTTTTTTTTTTTTTTTCAAAAAAAAAAAAAAAAAAATAATTACAAATTTCTTTTTGATATTTAGCATAATTTCTCAGAATAATTTATCTAGTATAAGCTAGTTTTGCTAATATAAATTATTCACAGTTATACTATCCTTGTTCTGTTCTCTCTCCCGCTCTTTTTTTCCTAAAAAAAAAATAAAAAATAAAATAAAATAAAATAAAAATAAATAATAATAATAAAAAAAGGAATGAAATTATGCGGACAATTCACTTGAGGATTATTAACGTGTGAATTTAACCTATAAACTCTCAGCTACATTATTGTCCTGCTGTGGTATCGGATGATTATTATGATTATGATTATTGTTTTGGTTATTGTTATTAAGTTCATCACTTCTTGATTGTCTATTAACCCTTCTGTCCCTATTTCGTCGTCTTCTCGAACGACGAATAGATGTAAGATATTTTATCCATCTGAAATGTGGGAAATTTGGATGTACAGAAGAAGCGATCGACGAACCATCATCATTTTGTCGATCGTTATTTGTGTTTGTAGTATGATTATTAATTCCAGTTGATGTTGAAGAATCCAATGCATCTTCACTTTGTTGTGTTGTGTTCACTTCACTGTCCCATGAAGTGTAATCCGTTTTACACATAGGACATAGCGGGGATATATCGAGAAGCCATGGATCTATACATATTCTATTGAAGAAAAAAGAATTAGTACGTATATAATAACATAAGATTAGTTCTTAATGAAAATACTGACTTGTGATACTGATGATGACAAGGAAGAATCCTTAATTCTACACCAGATTCAAAGTCATCCAAACAAATTGGACAAGTTAATTGCCCATCTTGTACTTTATTACTCGTTAGCGCTGAAAGACTTGAACCCGTGGATATAGAACGGCTATGTGATGAATTTTTAATATGTGCACTCGGAAGTACTTTTGGTAAATCAGGATTCTCTTTTTCAGACAAATTGATATCAGAGCGATCATTATTGGTTTCAAGAGTATTATCAGTATTTTTAGAATAAATATTTGATGAATCTTCATTTACTTCAATTCCTTCTGATTGTGGTGCAGATTTCATAACAACAGGACTTGTCGTCTCTAATTCAATATCATCTTCTAATTCTTTTCCTTTTCCTCCTTCCAAATCTTTATTCTCATCGTTATAGTCCTTCATTCCAATAGTAAATAAGAATACTGGGAAACTATCTAAAACGGATCTAGCTATGCCACGATTAGGACGTGCGTTAGAATCTTGCCCTTGACTTGGTGGTGTCACAGGGGCATTAAGCCGGTTTCTTATTATGTTTGTAATAACTACAATAAAAAATAATCCCAAAACAACACCTGATACAGCATAAAGTACTATCATTGCCGTTTGATAAGTCGCAAGCACTTTATTGTCATCAGAACCTTTTACTGAAACAGGTGTTGAAGGAACTTTATAATCTAAATTTCCATCAGGTTTTATCACTGCAGAAATTTCGTCTCGAGGTCGAAATTGTTGAATAACTTCAGAACAATCTTGTTCGGTCGTAGTAAATAAAGGTTTTCGAATCCTATCTGATGTTGGACTTTGACAAGGCATTTGCGTAAGTGTATAAAAGACAGAAGCAGCAGCATCCCTTGCCTCAGCGCGTAAAACATTTTGAAGATTGATGCTGGGATTATCATTACATTGGATAAATGCTATCCAGCGATCATCTTCATAGGGGTTTCGACCATTTTGATCCGGCCATAATCGTAATAATCCCTGAGATTCGATAATTTAAAAACGTTGATATTTAGTATTCTTTCAATGAAAGATCAATCGTGTAGTTACTCAATTTCAATAAATTAAACATACGTCTATCGTTATACCCGGTGCATTCGATAAGTTTGTTAAATTACAAACTTTAAAATAGGTTATTATAAACATACTATAAGACTTTGTATTATTGTCTGTACTTTGAGCACTTACTAGTGACACAGCTAATAAAAGAAACGCACCAAAAAAGGTACTTAGTCTTCTAAATGATCCCATGTCAACCAAAACCTTATTTTAATCTCGATAAAAAACCAAAGTAAAAGAGAATTCTTAAATAGTTCACTTTAGAATTTCAACTGTATCTTCAATTTTAATATAAAGAAACGATTCAATTATAATTCATTATTATTATGATTGTTACTATTATTATTATTATTATTATTAATTATTTTGATTTTTTTTTTTTTTTCTTTTTTTTTTTGGTAAATTTTTTTTTATAGAAACCTATTTTTATATATATTGCATCCAGGTAAGAACGTTACTTGAATTTGTATGAGATAAAAAAAAATCAAACTTTAAAAATTGTTTTTTGTAGCACTAACAAATTTACTCTTTTCCGATGATATCACAATTATGAATTATATACTGGGAAACTTGTAATTCGGAATATAATTGATAATAATAGGTAATGCTGATGGAACAGAAAATTCTCAATTAATTCTGCGTAACAAATTTGTTAGATAACAATGTCTTGTTTGAATTTTTGGTAATAAATTAGTAAATGCTTCTAAACCAATTAGAATTATTTAAGTAATTTAGATAGGGGATTTTTAAAAAATTACTAAAATAATTATAGTAAATAACTTTTTTATGAAAAAATTTGTAAAGCAAAAAAATTAATTAATCTAATTAATTTTAATTAATTTAAAATTTCTTTTTATTAAATATATATAGCTAATTGCTTTATTTTTTTTTAAAATCTTGATATTTTATAATATTTCTTTCTTTTTTAATTAAAAATATTATTTTTTATTATGATTATATATTTTCTTTTGAATTTTAATTAATAGTTAAAACATTTAATTAATTAAAATTAAAGTATATTTAAAAATATTAATACTGTTTAAATGTTAAAATTTAATTAAACTAATTTTTTAAAATTAAATTATATAGCATTTTGTAATAAAAAGAGAAGAAATTATTAAAAGAAAAATTATTTTTAAAGTTTTTTATTTCTATTACAAAATAAATATATAATAAAATTTATAAGAAATTAATAAAATTTTATTAAATTTAAAATCTATAATTAATTAAACCAATTTTTAAAAAAAAATAGTTTTAATAAGTATCATTACTAAAGATAATGCTGTAACTAGTTGCAATTATGTGATGCTTATTTGTCACTGGTTATAACTAGTTGCAATCCTATGATGCTTATTTGTTACCAGTTGCAATTAGTTGCAATGTCATCTTTAATCATTACTCAGAAAATAAATAGAATAAATAGATTAATATTATTATAAAAAATTTTTTATACTTAATATTTTTTATCTTTAACATACAGTAATAGTTAAAAATATTGCATCACTTAAACACAAATTTTAAAATTGCAATTTCTTAACAATTAGATAGCGTAATATACAAAACTTTATTTTTAAACTTATAACGAATCAATTTAATAGTATAAATTTCATTATGTAATGATAAAATAAAAATTTTTAAAAATAATATTTTCTATTAATTATGTGATACTTTTCTTTTGACTAATTTTATAAAATATTTTACATAAATAAAAAAATTTATTATTTCAATTATAATAAAACTTTAACAAATAATTGTTTACATCTTATATAGTCACTATTAGCTTTAATTATATTATTTATATAAATTAACATAATATCAACCAACTTTTTATATATATCAAATTCTAATTTAACCTAAATCTTTTGAATTATATTTCATAATTAATCCTGTATTCTAATAAGTATTTTAATCTGTCTTAGATAATAGTATATTTTATTTTAGAAATATTCTATTATATTTAAATCAAGAAATTATGTTGATTAATTAAGAATTTTAATTCTATTAACTTCAATCTATTATTTTATAAGATATGCTATATATTTAGAATCATTATCTTGTTAAAAAATAATATTTTTTATTTATTTTATATCACTTATTAAATAATAATTTAATAATAACAGATTACAGTATATATATACTGTAACCTATTATCATTAAACTATTACTTAGTTGTATTAAATTATTACCTAGTTATATGTGATTATTATCTAGTTACAATCTGTTATTGATTTTAACTTTTTTTGTTTTTTCTGATTATTAGATCATTTATTAGTACTTTTATTTAATTTGTTTCTAGCTATGTAGAAGTAAAAAAACGTGATTTATTTATTACTTATTCTTCTTTTTATTTCCTTCTAACTTTTTATTTCTTTTCGTTATTTTGTGACCTTTTGTCACTTTCTGGCTATTATTATATGAAAAAAGATATAGATGATGATGATCTAAAGGATGACGTCAATCCTTAAAAAATCATATATGTCTTCTATGTCATCTATGTCATCTATAACATATATTTCTTTTATACGATATATTTCTTTTATTTATTTTATTTTATTTATTTTATATATCTATTATATTTTACTTATTTCATATATTTTATTT